GCATCGCCGTGTGCCGCCCCACCGCGCGCCGCCGCCATCTGGCCCTGCATCGTCGTCAGCAGCTGCGTGAGGCCGACGAGCGGGCCGCCTGGCCAGCCTGCAGCTCGGCGATGGCCGCGATGGGCGGCGCGCGGTCGGGCGGCGTGGCTGGGGCTGCATCGCCCTCAGCGCCCGCCACGGGCGTCGGCGTGATGGGCTCCTCCATCGGCTCGTCGCCCGTGGGGGCCATGGCCTCGAGCTGCTCCAGGAGCGTCTTGGCGCGGCCGAGGGCCTCGGCGCGCTGACCCACCTTGGCCTCCAACTCCGCGAGCTCCTCACGCGCCCGCGCAGCTGCGGCCTCGGCCTTCTCCAGCTTGGCCTGTGCGCGCTGGGCGAAGCTGCGCTGGCGGTCGCATCGTACGCCAGCTGGGCGGGCCAGGATGATCATGCTGAGCTGCACGGCGTACTCCTCCTCCTGCGGCCGCCTTTGCTCCAGGCTCATGCCGAGCTCGATGGCTGCCTGCAGCCTCTTGCCCGTGGCGGCCGCCATCTGGCGCAGTGAGCGCCTGTGGACCGTGAGCCCGCGCTCATCCGACGGCGGCTCGACCCAGGCTGGGTGAGCTCGTGCATCCGACGGGAGCGCGGGGAGGATGCCGAGCGCGGGGCTGCGGCCGTCCTCGTCGCCATCTGATGCATCAGATTCGCCTCCAGCAGACCGCCTCCGACGGCCATCGCCGTCGGCGGAGCGCCGGCGGCGGCTCGAGGCCGACCTCGGCCGCGGACCGCCTCCGCCGTCCTCAGTGTCCTCGTCCTCGAAGCGGACTCGCGAGGCTGACCGCGGCCTCGGCTCCGCCTCCGGCTGACGTGCCTCGCCCTTGCCGCCGCGGCGGCGACGCCTCGAGGCAGAACGAGGCTGGCGGCCGTCTCCACGCGGGCCCGCGCGCGGGCGGGCTGTCCCTCCTCCGTCTCCATGCATTGGTCCATGCTCGGGAAGAGGGAAACAGGAGCGGCACAGGGCGTCAGCAGGGCCATTGAGTCCTCCGCACGTCGGGCACCACCATCCGGGCGGCCGCGGCGGCACGGCCCACGGGGGAGTGCTGCCACTCTGCCCGCTGTGGCCGCCGCCCGAGCTGCCCTTGCCACTGCCCTTGCGGCCCTGGCCGCCCTTGCCGCCGCCTCCAGCACGGCCTGACATCAGCCCGTTGCTGTGGTGCGCGCGCAGCCTCGCCGCGGCAGCGGCGACTCGCAGCAAGGTGCGCGACTGCGTGCGCCGCTCGCGAGCGCGTCTGTGCCAGGCGGGCTCGCACACTCGCAGCCGGCGCCGCGCCCTGCTCGAAGCGGGCGCCCGCGCCGTCGTGCGCCTGCCCACTCTGGGGGCGTCGCACGCCGCAACGCAGCAGCACGGCCGGCCCGCACGCCACCAGTGATGGCGCGGGCGAGCGCGTATGGCCGCCAGTCCCGCGAGGCTCCGCAGGTATCCTGTATACCTGCACCCAAAAGCCTCGGGCCGGGACGGCGGCTAGAGGGAGGGGGAAGGAGGGAGGAGCGAGGATTGCGGAGGCGTGAGCGGGGAGAAGGAGAAGGGAAGAAAAGAGAGGATGAAGGGGAGGAAGAAGGGAGAAGGAGGGAGATAAGTGTGGAGTGCCAGTGACCGTCCAGAGTGCATGGAATCGGGAGCCCCCCCCTTCCGAAAGTCGGAGGCGGGAGGTTCCAACCCCCCCTCGCCTCTGGCAAACGACGACGACGACGACGAGTCGTCGTTCATCACCACGGGCGTCGTCGCCATCGCCGTCGCCGTTGCCATCGTTGCCGTCGTCGTCGTCATTTCCTGGCGAGTCGGTTAGTCGGGCGGGCGAGACACGTGGTCGTGGTTGGCAATTCGGTCGGGCGGGCGGGCGGGACACGTCGCCGTCGTCGTCCTCATCGTCGTCGTTGTCGTGGTCGTCCTCGTCTTCGTCCTCGTCGTCGTAGTTTGCCGACGACAGGCGTCGTCGCCGTCGCCCGCCTCCGTCGTCGTCGCCGTCGTCGTCGTCGTCGGCGAGTCCATCGGTCGGGCAGGCGGGCCGGACACGACGACGTCATGGGCGAGTCGGGCGGGCGGCCGGCGGGACACGTCGTCGGTCCTCGTCGTCGTCTGCCCGCGCGGGGCGTCGTCGCCGTCATGACCCTCGTTGTCGTTGTTTGTCGTTGTTTGCCTGAGCCAGTGAGTGGGGTCGAGCTTCGAACCACTCCCCCCCCCAGTTGCACAGATGGGGGTAGTTCCTTTGCAAAACGAGAATCCAGGACACCGCGTTGTAATTCAAACACTGGTACCTTGTTTAAAATTCGCAGGAAAGATGCAAGACAGCTCCTTGTTGAAAAGGTGCTCTCGTCTTAATGGCAAGCCCACGGGGTGCTCATCCTCCAAGGGGGAGCTCGTCGAATGAAAAAGACAGCTTGCAGGTCCATGAGGGGGGAACTGGGGACGGGCGGGCGCATTCCTCACTCCTTCGTTGATTCGCGGCGTTGAAGTCCGAGGAATGGTGTTTGGCACGAGTGAAAATTCTCAGGCGTTGTCTTTCAATAAGACATCTCACGCAATCCAAATGAAATCGCTGTAGGCATCTATGGAGAAGGAAATTGACGGCAGCGCTTATTGCAACATCGTTAATGCTTCTTGAGTTTACACTGGTTCTTTATTCCTCCTCCTCCTCCTCCTCCTCCTCCTCCTCCTCCTCCTCCTCCTCCTCCTCCTCCTCCTGGTCATCTCCCTCCTCTCGCAGCAACCGCGGCCCCGGCACCCGTCCGACTCTAGGGCGGACGGCCACCCGGGGCTGCCAGGCGTGTTAGACGGTGTCCGACACCACGGCTGGCGCGTAGCGCGCCAGACGCCACTCGCCTGCAACGACGACTTCTGCGGCCTCCCAGACCTGGCGGCCGAGACCTACACTTCTGCGTGCTACCGAGCATCTTGAGCCAGGGACCCAGGCCCCAGAAAGCCCCAAGGAGTTCCTCCCTCCCCCTGCCCGCCCCCCACCCCCTCTCGCCCCTCCTACTTCCCGCCCTCCCTCCCTCCAGCCATCCCTCACCCATTCTCCCTCCTCCCTCACCTCTCCCTCCCCAGGCCCGAGCCGTAGTCGCAGCCATCTTGCTCCCTTTCGGCACACTGTGAATCCTCGGCTTGAGCCCACGCGCGCCGCACCACCAGGCGCGGCGACCACTTACATGCGCGGCCGCGTAGCCGTTTACGTTCAATCGCGTCCCCGTGCAAGTGGATCCGCCTCGCTGGACTGCCCCAGGGTCCCTGGCATCTTCACTGTGCTGCCGACCGCCTTCGATGCCTATCACTACCGCTACGGCAGTGCGGCGCTGGCGCAGGCGACGGCGTCCAAACTCAGCCATAAAGCAGAGTGCTTCGAGGTGCAGAGCATCTCCACGGGGCTGACGTTCGCCGACGATGATTACCCCTTCCGCTACTGCAGCGCGTCCCTGGCGCAGGCTGCTGCGTCCAAGCTCAGCCATACGGCAGAATCCTAAGAGGTGCCTGGCATCTTTACGGGGCTGACGTTCGCATACAAGGACTTCCCCTGCTGCCACTGCAGCGCGGCCCTAGCGCAACCGACGGGTTCCAAGCTCAACCACACAACGGAATGCAACAAGGGGCTGTGCATCTTCACGGAACTACCGTTCGCCTTCGTGGACCACCCCTTCCGCTACGGCAGCGCGTCTCTTGCGCAGGTGGGCGTCCAAGCTGAGCCATAGGGCGTAGTGCTACGAGGTGCAGGTCATCTTCCTGGGGCGGCTGTCCACATACGAGGACGGCCCATTCTGCTACGGCAGCGCGGACATTGTACAGGCCAACGGCTTCCAAGCTCAGCCGCACGGCGGAGTGCCACGAGGTGCTGGGCATCTCCACGGGGTTGCCGTTCGCCTACGAGGACTATCCACTCCACTACTGCAGCGCGTCCCTGGCGCAGGCGGCCGCGTTCCAGCTCAGCCATACAGCGGCAGCGGAGTGCTACGAAATGCCAAACATCTTCTCGGGGCTGCGGGGCATCTACGAGGACTACCCCTTCCGCTGCTGCAGCGCGTCTCTGGCGAGCGTAACGGCTTCCAAGCTCAGCCATATGCCGGAGTGAGACGTGGTGCTGGGCATCTTCATGGAACTGCCGTTCGCCAAAGCGGACTACCCCTCAACAGTCCGTGAACTACGGCGCGATCTGCCTCGCTAGCGCGCCCCTGGGACAGCGGTCTAGTCTCTCGGTTTCCCCGCCCATTCGGTGGCTCGCCGCCACGGTATCCGGCCTCTCTGTAAGCTGGCGTGCTCCCTGTCTGGGAATCAGCTCCTGCCTCGGCGCAGTGAACTCGTAGAGGTCATAGACCTCCGATGTGCCTCCTATCACTGTTCAGTGCTGCTTTCCTCTTTGTGTCACTTGCCTGGTGGCAGCTGTCTTTGTGCAGCTGTTGTGGACAGCATTGACCGCCACGCACTCGATTTCTGTGCTGATGGTATTGACTAAATCTTGCCGCCGATTTGCACGATTCCTACAGGCTGACGGTGCGCCTTCATTCTGATCCGATCCGATCCCGCCTCCCCTAGAGGAACCAAAAAACAGCACCAGCATAAACTTCAGGAGGTCCGCGCGGATTTCTCCGATCGGCGCTGGGCCCCGACGTCGATCCAAGAAATCCGCGCGGACCGTCGAAAGTATATGTTCATGCCGTTTGCGATCCTCCCTCACTCCTCCCTGCCCCCACGTCGGGGCGAATCATATCCACCGAAGCTGGTGGCTGATTGGGCGTGTTTTTTGTCGGCATTGGCCTTGGCTGCAATAGCATCGACACCCTGGCGACGGAAATACTACCCGGAGTCAGGCGCTAGCAGGCAATTGGCATCACCACTCCAGACAAAAAACCTGTGGCCCACAACAAAACCTCCCTGTGGCGAGCCCCTCCCTCGCCCCGCGTTCTGCATACGCGCCTGCACTGGCACGGGGCCGTACTTCGAGCCCCATCCGGTCGGCACGATCTGCGCGGGGAGGTCAGACAGACCGTGGGCCTGGATCTCCACCATGCCGGGACCTCGCAACCGGCTGCCCCCGCGCAACTCTCGCTGCTGCCGCCGACGCCGCCGCCGTGCCACAGGAGGACGCCGGCTGCAAACAGTCAAAGGATGGGCAGAGGGCCAAACGACATCTCGCCCTCCAGGGGTGTTGACGTCCTCCAGGCAATCAAGCAAGACCTCGTCCTCCCTGGGTGCTGCCAGCAGCGCTACAGCCGCCACTTTTGTGAGCTCCTGGGAGGTCCAACGAAAAGACGTATTACGGCGATTCAAACTGGAGGACCAAAAAGGACAGAAACATACACTTTGGGAGGTCCGCGCGCAGTTCTCGGACCAGCGCTGCACCCCTCCCCAGCGCGCGGAGCGCGACGGGGGCATCGCCGGAAGCACCGCCAAGGAGGCCCACGGACGATCCAAGAAACCTTCGCGGACCTCCGAAAGTTTGTCTATGCCTTTTTTGATGCGGAGGGCGCCCAGCTACACACCAGCTGTGGTCCTTGCCAGGCCCCTCCTGGGCCTGAGACTGGCACGGCAAGGACTGGTGCTGATGTATGGTTCTGGGGGCAACGTGAGGGGGGAATCAGCTCAGGGGAGAGAGCGTCGAGCTGGAGTCAGCGATACCTCGCCGACGGATCGGCGATAGGCTCGAGATGGCGTATCCGCACGTTCCTGGGCGGGGGGGGGGCTATCGGGCCTCTATCGGTGATGAAGTGGCGATTGGGGGTCGACCCCCAGGAACCTATCCACCTTACATTGCTCCTTACCCCAGGGGCCAGGGGTGCGAAGCTGGTGCTGGTGAAGGGGTCGAGAGCTCCGGGGGCCAGCGGCTCGATCAAGAAACTGGATCGGGCGACATCAACCGACCACCTCACCGATACTGGCCGGGGCGAAAAGATACCGAGACCGCCATTCCCCAGACCTCTCCTGGGGTGCGTTCTAGCAAGGATTTCGAGGCGAATCCACCTATGGTGACGAGGATGTGGTAGCGGCATCGATATCGCTTCCTCCTCTGAGACCCTGGGACCAGGATGGGCCGGGCCAGGATCGGTGCGGATGGCAAGCTCCCCCGACAACAAATCAATAGTCACCGGATTGGAAAATCACATGTGAACCCTGACCCTGCAGGTCAGCTGTCTGACAAACTTTTTCATAATCCCACCAACCCTCTGGGCGTAGATGGTCGAATGAGGTCCGTGTTCCTCTCCAAAGCCCCTCTTCTCTTTGGGAAGGGGTACCGTCCCCCTCCCCTCCCTGAGGCTTGCTTGGCCCAGTCGCGAGCGGTCAGAGCGCCAAAGACGGCTCCAAGAAAGCCCCCGATGCTTCAAAATGGTCCCTAAAATGGCTCAAGAAAGCCGGAGATGGATGGCTCAAGATGACTTCCGACATGCCTCCTAGAACCCTCAAGAGGACGACAAGACAGCTCCAAGTGCTCTCGGAGCCACCTCAGGACTTCCCTAGCAAGCCAAAATCCTTCAAACACCTAAGGAACATCAATAATTTGCGGCTTCCCGCCTTTTCGCTTCCGACGCGGTTGTATGGCCTGGAGATGACCCCAAGATGGCCACAGAGAGCCTCAAGAGAGGCCCAAGAGGCCACCAAAACGGCCTCAAGCACAGATGGGCAGCCTCTCCTCAAACACTCAGCGCGCCCTCCCATCCTGTTGCACATGATGCAAGAGATGCGCGGAAATCAAAATCGCATCGCATACCACACAAGCCGCCAAATATGACTGGAAACGAGGCGGCCGACTGGCCAGCATCCGAATATAAGGAATCCAATAGAAGCGGTCGGAACCCTTTAGGCACGGCACAGACCGACAAAAGTATGTAGCCTCTCTGGAAAACTTCGCACTGACCATCGAGACCTCCGAAAATTACCATTGAGCGGCACTCAGTGGCCACTAGAGGCCGGTAGCGGCCACTAGCGGCCACTAGCGAGTGCGACTAGCGGCCACTAGCGGCCTTTTAGCGGCCATTTAGCGGCCATTTAGCGGCCACTAGCGGTCCGTTGGCGGCACTTAGTGCTCACTAACAGCCACTAGTGGCATGGCGCGTGAATGAGACCGCCGACCCTATCATAGCCACAAGCGCGCGCGCCGCTGAGTGCCGATAAGCCCCGCTATCCCCAAAAAAGAACTCGAATTCCATTCTACAATTCCCCAGGTTGGCCACGTAAACAAAACATGTGCCAGGCACACATACTTGCTCCTCCTGCGGAAAGGCTCCCTCATTTCCCATACGACCATTCAAAGCTCATGCTGTCCCTCAGACCGCCAGCTTTCCTCTCTACAGGTGCTCCAGGTGCGCCCATCCCAAATCCTAGAAGAAAGAATGCTTGTCAGCCTGAACCAGAATCAATGAGTTATTGCACAATAGATGTGTCAGCTGTGCAAACGGGGAAAAAATCAAACGCAAACGCAAACGCAAACTTGGGAAAATCAGTGTGGGCGACTTCAACGCCAGAATGGGCATGGCTCAGCCGGGAGAGCACGATATATTGGGAGATGTTGGATGGGAACGGCGAGCACAATACGAAGTAGAGAAACCTCACCGAGAAATGATGTTAGAGTTTTGCACCCATGGGCATGTTCAGGTGGTTCACTCTGTTCTGCAGCAGCCGTTGGTTCATAAAGCCACATTCATGGAGGCCGGGGCATCCCCAGCAGATACAATTACAGAAGAGACATTCAATATATTGAATTTGGTTTTGAGCGAAGCCCCTCTGCGAAAACACGTCGTTATACTGGAAAGCCGTCGAGAAGCAGCCCTCACTACGGATCATCATCTGGTGATTGCAAGACTTGCGATGCCATGGGATACCCCAATGCGGTATGAAAAAGGACGTCCGAACAGACATGCTGTGCAAGATCCGACTTCTTTGCATACGTACGCGGACTCTTTCTGAAAACATATTTCATCAGCGACGGCGGACCCGACAACTTTGGAGGAGATGTGGGACCAAGGGCAATCAGCAATTCACATCGCCGCCAACACGCTGCCAAACCACCGCAGAGGAACGCTCAAACGATGGATCACGCAGCGTGCGCTTGACTTGATCGCCCGACGCAGCCAGGCACGCGCAGCCAACGAACAGAAGAGGCTCTTGAAGGAAGTCCGCAGAGCGTGAGAGCAGGATAAGACCATCTGGGTAGACGCACACATATCGACTGGAACTTGGGACGTTCTGAGAAGACATCGTGCCGGCCCAAGCCGCGACGGCAAGGAAGGCTCGAAAACATGAGAAGTGAACTTGTGGACAGCACGCAAAGGGTGGACACAATGGCTGAGTATTTGGAAAAAAGTGAAATGGAAAGTACGTGTAACAGAGTTGACCGACGACGACACCGTTGGAGACCCACTACCAGTATTGGAGTCAAAGTTTACAGCACAAGAAGTGAATAAAGTAATTCATAAGCTCAAAGGTGGTAAAGCTTTTGGCATGGACGAGATACCAGAAGAGTGTTGGAGAGCAATTGCTACAGACCCTGGCAGGCTCGAATGGATAACGGATTAATGTAACAAATGTTGGGAAGAAGAGACCGTACCAACAGATTGGGAAAAACTATTATTTCAACGATATATGCAAACACAGAGGCCTTCGACAATTGCAACAACTATCGCCCAATCAGCTTGTTATGCGTGACCTACAAACTCATAGCGGCGCTCATCCTGCAGCGGCTCCAAGACGCTGGGGCTGAGGACAAACTACCACCGACGCAGTTTGGATTCCGCTGGGGATGTGGGACATCGGACGCGCTACATGCGGTTCGTCGTTATCTCGAACTGGCACACGCAGACAAACATGGTGGCGTAGCTTCCGTCGCGCTGGATTGGAAGAAGGCTTTCGATTCGATCAACGTGGGCGCGCTGGTGGAGGCTCTACGAAAGTTTTGGGCCCAGACCGCATTCTGAACACCATCGGCAGCATCTACGGTGGCAGGACATGTCGTGGCGCTGATGGACGACACAAGTTTTCAGAAAGGTGCCAATTGTCCGGGATCTCGCAAGGCTGCCCGCTGTCCCCTTTCTTGTTCATTATGGTAATGACTATGGTCATCCAGGACGCCGCACGCCATGCAGATGTTGCAGTACGACAGGCCTTGGCAGAAGAAACTTCGGCGACTCTATTGTATGCTGATGACACTTTATTGGTTGGCCGCATGCTTTGGGCAGAAATCGCTCGCGCAGGAGCCCGGGTGGGCATGGAGCTTCACTGGGACAAATTCCAACTTATGCCAGTGCGGTGCGATATCAACCTCATCACGCCGCGTGGCGAGCAAATCGCGGCAAAAGATTCGCTAGTGTATCTGGGTGCTACGCTTTCTAGCTCAGGGCAGGTACGTGAAGAATTGGGCAGGCGATTGGGAGCAGCATGTGGCGAGTTCTGCAAATATGAACGTGCCCGGAACCACGCGGCTATTACCACAGCGCGGAAAATCAAGATCTTCCAGGCACTCGTAACAAGCAAGGTGATGCACTCATTGAACTCAGCATGGCTTAAGAAAGCAGAGTGGAGAAGATTGGATAGCTTTCAATGCAGGTGCTTGCGACGAATATTGCACCTCGTCCCAGCGTGCGTTTCACGAGTTTCTAACAAAAGCGTCTTGTTTCAGTCTGGTGAGCGACCCTACGCATCTCAATTTTCAAAGCATCAACTTGTGCTCTTCGGAAAGATTGGCAGGGCTACCGCCTCCAACCCGTTGCGCCGCCTCACTTTCCAGCCTGGCAGCCTGAGGCCGGCCACAGACGCGTGCGCCAGAGCAGTGGGGAGGCCAAGGCAAGAGTGGGCGAAAAGCTTGTTCGCTTCTGTCGTGATGCATTTCAATACCCCGACCACTTGATGGATTGCGTTGGCGATCCAGTTGCATGGCGCGAATTTGTAGTTAAGGTTGCAAATTCCCCTTATTGTCCCCCTGCTCCTCCTCCCCCCCTTCCCCCTTTCGCCCCCCACCCCTCTAGATAGCCGATTGTGCATTAGATTATATCCTATTTTGCCTGCGCCGCCGCAGCAACCGCAAAGCGGAATCTCCAGCGAGTGCGCATTATGTTGTTTCGTTTCGCCCACGCGCTACGGCGTATGGCATGGCTGACTGACTCAGATGTGTCAGCCATGTGGTTCGCTGTATGTGGTGTGGGAAATTTGGTGCAAGCTGTGTGGTGTAAGTGATGTGGCTAAAGCTACGTGATGCAAATCCAGTGGTACGAGCTATCTGGTGCAGGCGATGCTGCGCGGGGTAGGTGGAGCAAGCTGTATGGTACAAGCTATGCGAAATAAGGTGCTGCCCACCAGGCGAAACCTCACCACACCCGCCCAGCGCACGGGGGAGCATACGAGGCGCACAGGGCCGCCCACCAGGCGAAACCAAGAGGCGCCCATGGCCGCCCACCAGGCGAAACCTCGCCACACGAATCCCCTCCCTTGTCAAGGTAAATACGAACTCCTTCATGCAAACGCTGTTTTGGGAGCTGCACACATACACCGATCCTGGCCAGGCTGATCCTGGGCCAAGGGTCCGTGCATACGCCTTCCTGGCTGGACCAGGCAGGAATGTAGACCGACCCTGGGCCTAGGATGCGCCTGATAAGAGTCGGTATGTGTGGATGGTTCTCGCCGCCCCGCTTCCCAGCACCTCCCCCTCGGGTCCCTCATTCTCCCTCTCCGATGCGTGGGCCGTGGCCCGCATCCTGCTCCAGCGCTCCGACCAAGCATTATGATCCCGAAACCCCTGGGGAAGTCAACTGACCCCGGGCCGATCGTAGGCTCAGGATCTATGTCTACGCATCCCCTGGCCAAGCCAGGAGGGCCTGTACACCAATCCTGGGCCCAGGATGGGCCCAGCCAGGATCGGTGAGTTGGTCCGTTGACGAGGAGATTGTATAAATCGTTCGCTATCGGCCGATTCTGGGCCGCTGGCAGCGTATAATCGTGAACGCCCGCATTGGGACCACCGCCGCGGACACGCGTCGCGAACCTACCGTAGGGAAACGGATCGCGTCAGCGCCTCTCACCGCAACTCCTTCTAGACACCATGCGTTAGGAGCGATTGACTCTGAAGAGAAGAAGCCGTGTAGGCCCATCCTACCGTAGACGACACCGCCGCGCACATTCGGCACTGAGGGCCCCCTTTCCCACCTGCTCTCCTCGCATCCCTGCCTGCCCTGGCCCTGACCTCCAGTCTGCCCGCGACCTGCCCAAACCCGTGTGGTGACAGACTGCGGGGTGACCCCGAAATCCCCAGACGACTCACCGCACAGTACCGCACGGTGCATCACCGCGCAGTTTAGGAACCCTGGAGGCCCCAGCAGCCCGAGACGTCCTCGGAGAACGACCCAAGTCCCAAAACCGTGCGATGACCCCGAATCCCCACTGACTCACCGCACGGTGTGGGCACCGCACCGTTTGGGGGGCCTCCAAAAACTTCCCCCTTCTTCCCCCCCTTCCCCTCCAGAGGTCGCCCCGAGGCCCTGACCTACGGGGGTGGCCGGAGGTCCTCCGAGTTCTCGGCACACAGAGGGCCCCCTCGAGGGCCAAAGAAGTCCACAACCCCATTGATGCTCGATCCTCCCGCCCTCCACCTCATCGATCGGTCGTTCTTTCGTTTGCATGCCATGACGCATGACACATCGGCTCAGCAGGGGAAATTACCCTGGCGACGTACCCAACCCCTGCGCAATGCGGGGCATGAGTAGCTTGGGAGACGTTATACGGAGGTGATGACGTGACATGGGCGCATATACTTCTGCGAGCGAAATTCGTGAGGCTCGCAGCCCCCCAAGAATTGCGATGTCCCGCTCAGATCTGCCTGGTGCCTCGCACCGCTGGACCCACCAGCAGCCCTCAAAAATGGCGACAGTTTCGCAGATCGCAGCCCACCAGGGACGGCGAGGTCCCGCTCAGGTCCGCGCGGTGCCTCAGTCAGCAGGACCCACAAGCAGCCCTCGAAAGTGGCGACGGTTTCGCAGATCGCAGCCCCCCAGGGACGGCGAGGTCCCGCTCAGATCCGCGCGGTGCCTCACTTTGCAGGACCCACCAGCAGCCCTCGAAAGTGGCGACAGCTTCGCAGATCGCAGCCCCTCAGGAACGGCAAAGTCCCGCTCAGATCTGCGCGGTGCCTCACTCCGCAGGACCCACAAGCAGCCCTCGAAAGTGGCGACGGTTTCGCAGATCGCAGCCCCCCAGGGAAGGCGAGGTCTCGCTCAGGTCCGCGCGGTGCCTCACTCCGCAGGACCCACCAGCAACCCTCGAAAGTGGCGACAGTTTCGCAGATCGCAGCCCCCCAAGCACGGCGAGGTCCCGCTCAGGTCCGCGCGGTGCCCCAGTCAGCAGGACCCACAAGCAGACCTCGAAAGTGGCGACGGTTTCGCAGATCGCAGCCGCCCAAGCACGGCGAGGTCCCGCTCAGGTCCGCGCGGTGCCTCACTGCGCAGGACCCACCAGCAGCCCTCGAAAGTGGCGGCAACTTTGCAGATCGCAGCCCCCCGGGGACGGCGAGGTCCCGCTCAGGTCCGCGCGGTGCCTCACTCCGCAGGACCCACCAGCAGCCCTCGAAAGTGGCGACAACTTCGCAGATCGCAGCCCCCCCGGCGAGGTCCCGCCCAGATCCGCGCGGTGCCTCACTCCGCAGGACCCACCAGCAGCCCTCGAAAGTGGCGACAGTTTTGCAGATCGCAGCCCCCCAGGGGGCGGCGAGGTCCCGCTCAGGTCCGCGCGGTGCCTTACTCCGCAGGACCCACCAGCAGCCCTCGAAAGTGGCGACAACTTTGCAGATCGCAACCCCCCAGGGACGGCGAGGTCCCGCTCAGGTCCGCGCGGTGCCTCACTTTGCAGGACCCACCAGCAGCCCTCAAAAATGGCGACAGTTTCGCAGATCGCAGCCCCCAGGGACGGCGAGGTGCCGCTCAGATCCGCGCGGTGCCTCACTCCGCAGGACCCACCAGCAGCCCTCGAAAGTGGCGACAACTTCGCAGATCGCAGCCCCCCAGGGACGGCGAAGTCCCGCTCAGGTCCGCGCGGTGCCTCACACCGCAGGACCCTCCAGCAGCCCTCGAAAGTGGCAACAAATTCGCAGATCGCAGCTCCCCAAGGACGGCGAGGTCCCGCTCAGGTCCGCGCGGTGCCTCACTCCGCAGGATCCACCAGCAGCCCTCGAAAGTGGCGACGGTTTCGCAGACCGCAGCCCCCCAGGGACGGCGAGGTCCCGCTCAGGTCCGCGCGGTGCCTCACTGCGCAGGACCCACCAGCAGCCCTCGAAAGTGGCGGCAGCTTCGCGGATCGCAGCCCCCCAGGGGACGGCGAGGTCCCGCTCAGATCTGCGCGGTGCCTCACTCCGCAGGACCCACAAGCAGCCCTCGAAAGTGGCGACAGTTTCGCAGATCGCAGCCCCCAGGGACGGCGAGGTCCCGCTCAGGTCCGCGCGGTGCCTTACTCCGCTGGACCCACCAGCAGCCCTCGAAAGTGGCGACAGTTTCGCAAAAATCGCAGCCCCCCAACGACGGCGAAGAGAGGGCAGGAGGCGAGAGGCGGGAGGCAGGAGGAGGAGGAGAAGAAGAGACGCGACCACACCCCTCTATTCAAAACGAATACCCAGCCAAGGAGGGTTGGGAAAAAGCGAGCCGCAGAGCAAGCAGCAAGAAGTCAGAGAGTACTCTCAAGCATCGATAGGGCCAACTGCCCACGCACTGCAAAACGCGGGTGCAGTGACCCTTGCACTCAAGTCTTCATCAGGGGAGGGAGAAGACCTGGATCCTCGATATCGCAGCAACCTCCTCGGTCCTCGATCCGCCATCCTCGATGACCACCGGCCGCGGCCGGGCCCGCGCAGGGAGGCGGGGGGACACGCAGGCTTCGGAGCCGCGCTGCTGGTAGTGGTGCTCTTCGGGGCCGCGCCGGTGGTGCTGCTCTTCGAGGCACCGCTGGTGGTGGTGCTGCTCTTCGGGGCCGCGCTGGCGGTGGTGCTGCTCTTCGGGGTCGCACTGGTGGTGGTCTCGGAAGCGACGCCCGTGTGGCCGGAGC